TTAGATTTAGAATTCTTTCACTGTGTATTTGTTAAAATGTGACTTTAATTTGGAAATATGAAGACCTTATTTCTTAGTGGAAAGCTAAACAGGAGCAGATTGACAGGATTTTTAAGAGGATGCCCAGTACTATTGGGTTATATTAAATGGGCTGCTTTTATAAAATTCTCTGAATTTACATTTGAACTTAAAATTATAGCTGCCAATGCAGGACATATTTTTTACTCAACTATTGAGTTGCTGTAACACAGAAAACAGCTATGTTTCTGAAATGGTTTAGGTTATAGGCCTGCCCAGGGCAGAGGGACTCTTGAGGCTTTTTCTAATTCCATGTTTATAGCACTGTTGAGAAGGTAGTTAAATTATAAATCATGGTTCTTTTATCACCCTTTTCCAGAGATTGAAAAATAAGGTAATTTATGTACATGGAACAAAAAGAACAGCTCAAAATGTATGGTTGTTGTTGTTGTTATGTGCCGTCGAGTCGGCCCCGACTCATAGCGACCCCTCCTTGGGTTTCCGAGGCAGTATCACTACGGAAGTAGGATTGCCCAACCTTCCTTCCGAGGAGTGGCTGGTGGGTTTGAACCGCCAGCCTTCTGGTTAGCGGTCAAGTGCTTTAGCCACTATGCTACCAGAGCTCCTCAAAATGTATGGTAGTATAAAGTATATCATGTTCCTGACCTCCAGCCCTCCAGCTCTGCGCCCTCTTCCAGCCACTGTTGCCAATCTTTGTAATATTCCAGATACTCCATGTGTATGTAAAACATATACAATACTCACAAACATTTCTATAAAACTATCTATACTATTATGCACCTTGCCCTTTTCACTTACTGGTACCTTTAGTCATCTTCCCATATCAGTTTGTATAGATCTGTTTTACTATTTTTAACCTCTGCGTAGTTTTCATTTTAAGAATATGCCATAATAAAATAATTAAATGATGGCTATTGTTTATGTATTTTGACTTTTGATTTTTCCGTAGGTGGATGTTAGCAGTAGAATATTGATGCTGGACTTTAAACGGTTTGTAGCATGTTGTTAGGTGCTGTTTAGTAGTACTGCTCTATAAAGTTTCCTAGGCTGTAATCTTTACAGGAGCAGGCTGCCACATCTTTGTCCTGCAGAGTGACTGGTGGATTTGAACCACCAACCTTTCCAAACGTTTAACTATTGTACTACCAGGGGTGCTTGTTTCTAACACACTCCTCTTTAAAGTTTTAAGTGTAGTCTCTGTTGTGTCATTGATTTAGTTTTACCGGCAGTTCGCTATCTCAGCTTCATAGGCCTCTGCTCAGTTGCTCTTCTTCCAGCTGTCCCTTTCTTCCTTCTCTCTTCCTTCTCTCCTGCTCCTTCCTCTTCATTTTTTTAAAAAAATTCTATGTTATAGACCTTCCTTTCTAATCAGTGAAGTTATATTCTTTTGTTAAAAATTGTTGCTTAGGAAGTGGAAATATTCTGAATCGAAACATTTTTTAAGTTAGAGTCTAAAAAGATAAAAAGTGGAGAGGACATTTGGATGCATATTTGAATTTGACTGCATATTTGAATTTGACTGCTGTTATATGTCAGTAGCCAGCTTCTTTTGTCATCTAGTAAATTAAAACAAAAATTTTAAGTAGGTAGAGCAGAATTAATTTATTTTTACTTATAGGTAGAGCAGAATTAATACCAAGGAGACAGCTTTAAGAAAATTTTCCTGTAGGTGTACAGGTGCAGAGTTTATACAAAAATATAGGGCTCTGCAACTTTTGAGTACTTTCCAGCTGTGGTTGTTGTTTGTGACTTTTTACAGTCTGTTTGCTTTGCATTCTTCTGCATGTCAAGGGAGTTAACATTAGTTTATCTGAGTTGACAGGTGCAAGAATTTAACTGTTGATGCATAAACTCTTGGGGGAGGGAAAGGGACATAAGCTTGCTTTTATCATACCCTCTGTTAGCATTGATAGAACATGCTGTTTCTTTTGGCAGAAATTCCTTTTCTGGGGATCTCAGTATGGTGTTAAGAAATGAAAATGTAATAGTGAATTATCATCCTTGGAAGTGGTCCTTCCAAAATGATATTGGAGGAATAAGACTAAAAAGCCAACTCTGTTTGCTGAGCAGACAAACACGGAGACTGTAGAAAAGTTAGTGCTAGAGCCATAACCTTTTAAGCCTGTCCATCACCACAAGGTGGGCCTTTCAGTGCTTTTATTCAGCTAACACACATACTAGTTCTGATCATATCATTAACCAACTTAGAATTTCCTTGTGTTTTGCTCTGTACTGCGTGCAGACCATTGTTCTTCAAGTACTTACTTTTATAATCTTCCTCCATTATAAGGTCACTGAGTTGCAGGTGAACATCCAAAGAAGTATTTGAAGAAAAGTTAAACTTGCATGAAAAAGATTATGACTTGAAAAATATGCTCGTACCTCCATTAGTCTAAATTAATGAATAGGGAGCCAGGAGACCTGGGTTCTTGACCTTAATTTGCTACCTAATTAGCAGTATGATCTTAGGTAAGTCATTTTAACTTCCCTGGAATCCAGATTTCTTCTTCTTCTTTTTTTTTTAAAGGAGGATAAGAGTAGTTAGAGTAGTTTTAATTTCCTCGTAGCTCTGAAATTCCTTAATTACAAGAGTAAACCAAAACCAAACCAAACCCTCTGCCATTGAGTCGATTCCAACTCATAAAAACCCCCTTTAGGTTTCCGAGGTGGTAGAACTTTACAGAAGTAGATTGCCCAGTCTTCCTTCTATCGAGTAGCTGATGGGTTTGAACCACCAACCTTCTGGTTAGCAGTCAAATGCCTAAGGGACTATACCACCAGAGCTCCTTTTATAAGAAGTTTACTCTGTGAAATATTTTCTTGTTTAATCTAAGATGGCTGTGTTTGGGATCATAGTTAGAATAATCAGGAAGAGTGGTGGTGTATATTTTTGCTCTCTTAGTTTGATTATAGTGTTTTATGTTGTGTTGTTATGTGCCATCAAGTCGGACCCGACTCATAGCCTCCCCTCCTTTGGTTTCTGAGGCAGTATCACTATGGAAGTAGATTGCCCCATCTTCTTCCGAGGAGTGGCTGATAGTGTTTTACAGTAATGGATAATTCATTCTAAACCAAACTCAACTGCCATCAAGTCGATTGGACTCATAGTGACCCCTCCTTGGTTTTCCGAGGCAGTATTTCTATGGAAGTAGATTGCCCAGTCTTTCTACCGAGGAATAGCTGGTGGGTTTGAACCTCCAGCCTTCCGGTTAGCAGTCAAATACCTTAGGTACTACACCACCAGAGCATTGTTCTGAGGTATAATTGAAGTTTTTGGAATGCCGTTTTGAATTTCTTGTGTATCTTTTGTATTTTAGCAATGTTTAATTTTGTACTTGTGTCCAAAGTAATATAATCACAAGCGTGCAGCTTACAAAATAAAATACCATAGGAATATTATTAAAAGAAGAATTGAGAGTAGAAGAACACACTTGGAAGTTTGGAGGCTTAGGTTCTTTCTTATCTCTGTCTCAGTTTCTTCCTGAAAGTGTTTCTGTAATCATTATTTTTCATGTCTTTTTCTATCTGACCACCACCTTTTTTTCATATACTTCTGAATAAGCTTTTATGTGGTGGCTTGTTGAAGAGGCCAAGTGAAAGAACTAGATCTTGTTTGGGCTTTCAGAGGAATTTATGATCATATTGATACTCTTTGACTGAGACAACTATAAAGATTACTGTGTTTCAAAGCAGCAGACCTAAAATTTTAAAAAATTCTGACACTTAACTTTCTTGCCTTGTTTTTGGTAGGGATTAATATTTGGGGTAAAGGGAAGGGACCAGTCCCTGGAGATGGGTATCATTAAAGTAGAAGTTCAGCAGAGGAAGACTCTCAGTGAAATGCATTGACACAGTGGCCACAACAATAGGCTGAAACATGACAACAATTGTGAGGATGCCACAGGACTGGGCAGTGTTTTGTTCTGTTGTACATAGGGTTGCTTCAGAGCCGACTTGATGGCACCTGACAAGAACAGCAAAACATTTGGAGAAGAGGAAAGCTGTGTGAATCAGTCATCTTCAGATGCTTTTGTATTCTTGAGGCAGTGATGTGAGAAAATAGTAAAATCCTTGACAAGAAATGAGAGGGTAGGATTTATACATTAGTTGATCTGTAGGCATTGTGGTACATTGGAAAGAACACTGGACTAACAGAAACTTTGGTTTGAATTTGAGTTCAGTTAATTCATTGTGTGACCTTGGGACAAGTCACTTCACTTCTGACCCTCTTCCTCATTCCTTATGAGTAGTTAACAACTACTTAGAGTTGTGAGGGAAAGGAAACAATTTTTTGAAAGTGTTATAAGCTGATACCGTAATTGGGGGGGTCAGTGCATTACTTTGGATAGGAAGAATTTTAAATCCTTGGAGGAGAATTTTGGTAAATACCTTTCACCCATTTGTAGACACCATATTTGAGCAAAGAGTATATATGTGAAAGCTCTAACTATCAAAGCAGAAAAACAAGGAAGTTGTAGTGAACTTTATGAATAGAGTCCATGTAAGGAAGGTTTCCTTAAAATAATGGGCTTAATCATTTAAAAATGACCTGAGTAGAAATATCTTATCCCAAAAACATTGTTGAATCCAGTTTTGAAGAAAGAAAAGATACTTAATATTTCAATCTCTGATTTTTGAAACTTTTGGTACATACTTCTTAGATGGCTGTAATTTAGAATTGGTCACATTTCAGATGTCTACACAACAATTGCATTCTTGACTTGTGGTATTGTGTTTACTATGCTGTTAACCTCCAGTCATTTTACTTATTATGCTTCTCCCCTCAGGTTTTTCGTTGGAATATACGCTGCACATTTATGGCGATTCTGAGCGTGAGGGCAGACTTCTGCCAGGCTCAGCACAGCATTTTCGCTGACAAGTGAGCTTGGGGGTTCTATGTGCCATAATTAACCTTGCCTTGAAGACTCTGGACACCGAGACTGGCCTCAGAAATAGTTGGCTTTTTTTTTTTTTTTTAATTGCAAGCATATTTCTTTTAATGACTCCAGTAAAATTAAGCTTCAAGTAAACAAAAGTGGAAAGCGACCTACTCTTTTAACTTGTCTCACTAGTGCCTAAATGTAGTAAAGGCTGCTTGAGTTTTGTATGTAGTTGGATTTTTTTGGAGTCCGAAGGTATCCATCTACAGTCATTGAGACCCAAGTTGAATTTGGATTCAAGTGGATTTGAAATACTTCTGCCATCTTGAAGAGAAGCTTCCTAAGGAGTAAACAGGTTGCATAGAGAAAACACTGATTAATAATAGGCATTCTAGTGGTCTTTTTAATGTTTTCTGCTGTGAAACATTTCAAGATTTGTTGATTTTTTTTTTTTTTTTTAATTTCCCCCATCACACTCACATACATACGCACGCTCACTTTTTATTTGCCATAATGAACCGTCCAGCCCCTGTGGAGATCTCCTATGAGAACATGCGTTTTCTGATAACTCACAACCCTACCAATGCTACCCTCAACAAGTTCACAGAGGTAAGATTGTAGCATGGTCTGCTTTCTGGATTGATTCATAGGTAAAATCTCATTAATAATTCATTCCTTTGTAAAGAAATCTCATATTACAAAGCTGTTTACTTAAGTGCTTGCAATGTGCGTGGTTATACTAGCACTTTTTGGTTGAATTGGGTGTTGAAGTTGTTACTGCAGATTTTTCAAGAACATTTTTAGAATGGAGGGGCATGTTAGAAATTTTCTGAGGAGCTCAGGTGGCACAGTGGTTAAAGCATTCAGCTGCTAACCAAAAGGTTGGTGGTTTGAACCCACTAGCCACTCTGTGGGAGAAAGGTGAGACAGTCTGCTTCCTTAAAGATTTACTACCTTGGAACCCCAGTGGGGCAGTTCTACTTTGTTCTGTAGGGTTGCTGTGAGGTGGAATCAACTTAATTACAGAGGGTTTGAGTTTTAGAGATTTTCAGGTACCATATTTTTTCTTGTATCTTTTCTGTATTTGTCAGTAGTTCTTTTGTCATATTATCAGATAATAAAAATAACATTGAACACTTACTTAGTATGCATCAGGCACTATGTATGATAAGCAATTTTAATATTATATGATTTACTTCTCATAATAAACATGAGGTATACCAAAAAAAAAAAAAAAAAACAAAAAACACTGCCATTGAGTTGATTCCAACTCATGGCAACCCCGAAGGACTGAATAAAATTGCCCATAGGGTTTCCAAAGCTGTAAATCCTTACAGAAGCGAACTTTCTCTTTCTCCTATGGAGTGGCTGGTGGGTTTGAACCCCTGACTTTTGGTAAAATTCAAAGCAATTTAGTTACTTCCCTAAAGGCACAGAGTAGGGGATAGAATTGGCATACTTAACCTACATCTCTTGACACTTAAGCCTATGTCGTATCTCAAATGTCCTACACCCTTGATGGAGAGCCACCTCAAAACTACTTAAGAACAGTAATCATCATATATAAGATGAGATATTAGGAGATGTAGAATTTTTTATTTAATTTATTTTGCTTTATTTATAGAGTAGATTTAGTGTGGATTTTAAGTCCATCCTTCTCATTTTACAGATGTCAAAACAAATGGAAAGAGGTATTGACTTGATTAAGGTCACAAATACTTACCATAAAAAATTTCTACCATAACCTTTCAATAAACAGTTACTATGGGAGTTCATTTTAATGGAATTTTAGTTGCATTTTGAAACATTTTTTAAAATTCCTGACTCGGTATAATACTTCCAACTTTCCTGAGTGTCTAGTATAAAAAAGCTTTTCTGTGAAAAAGAAAGTCCTTTAGCAATTTTTTACTCTTTAGATAACTGAATAATGATACTTCTTAGAGGATATCACTGTTCCTGTTTATTTAGACTTGTAATTCCCTAAGCTTCTTAACTTTGTGTACACAGTGTACAAGTTAATTCCAAGCCTGTATGCCCTCAGGTTGTTTAGTCACCTTTGAGCCTGGCTGAGTTATGTGATTCTATTTTCAGCCTCTGGATTCCTTGGCCATAGACTCCAAAAGTGGAAGAGGCCAAGGTCCTGCAACTATAAAAAGATGTTAGTGGCCCCTCGAAGATAGGTAGTCACTGTAGAATGAGTTTTAAAGGAGCAAAGCTATTATTGTATGTTAGCTAGCTTTTAAATATAATACCATTTTTTCTTAATTTCAAAAGTACTTGTATTGTTTCTTTATGAAAACTTTGGGTGTTTATTACATAAAAATCAGAAGATACAGATAAGCAAAAAGACAATTTAAAAACACCTGTTTTTAAATTCTTCTCTTCCCATTTCCCTCCCCTAGCTACCTTCCCTCCCATGAACTCCTCCCCCACCAGCTGTCTCCCTGTGCACCTGTTAAGCAAACCTCAGCCTACATGACTCTGAAGGGGGACACACATACCTGTTAATACCTGCCTTCCAGATGTTTTTCTCTGCATATATGTATGTATTTATAAATACACATATAGACAGGATCACTCTATACATTAAAAAACTTTTCTTCCCAACCTCTTTAGTATTTTTAAAATAGCTGTCATAGTATTCTACTCTGTGGATGTACCATAATTTATTTAATTATTCCTGTTTTTGGACAATGTTGTTTCCAACTTTTTGCCATTTTAAACAGCTGTGGTAAATATGCTGGCACCTGAATCTTTATGTGTATCTTTGATTATTTCCTTAGTATAAATTCCCAGAAGTAGAAATTGTAGATCAAAGTGTATATGAGCTTTTTTTTTAAAAAATTTTTATTGTGTTTGGATGAAAGTTTACAGAGCAAATTCACTTTCCATGTAGCAGTTCATACACATTTTGTCTCTTGACATTACTATAATTTCCTCCACAGTGTAACTGCTCTCTTCCTATTTCTCCCCCGTAGCTACCTCTTCCCTGTGTCCTTCCCACCCATTAACTCCTGCCCCCTGAGCTGTCTCCCTGTATATACACTGCCCTTCTGTTGTCCCATGATTGTCTCTCCAAGGAGTGTTTCTACTTAATATAAATGTTCAGCTCATATGCCTGTCTTTTGTTTGTCTGGAAGCCACAGGAGTGGGTTCAATTCCAGATGTGAAGGGCACCTAGGGGCCATAGTCTAAGGAGTTCCACCAGGCTCTGTTAAGCCAGCAAACCTGGTCCTTTTTTTTTTTTAAATGATTTTGAGTTTTGTTCCACATTGTTCTCCCACTATATCTAGGATCTCTTACATAGATCCCCATCCAATTGGTTGACAGTGGTAGCTGGGCACCATCTGTCTTCTGGTCTCATGGTCATATAGGCTGAGGCAAAGTGTATATGAACTTTTAAAGTTTTGTGTTACACTGTCAAATTTCCCTATAGAAAAGTTGAGTCTTACTCATAATTCCACTGGGGTGTAGTACATGAGTGTCCTTTGCTACATTGGGATCTATTTTGATCTTTGTTTAATAGCATAAGAATGATATCTTGTTTCAATTTATAATAATACATTTCTGAAGTTCTGGTTGCAGTTCCAAAAGCAAATCCTCTTGTTTTTTTTTTTTTTTTAAATAAAGGAACTTAAGAAGTATGGAGTGACAACTTTGGTTCGAGTTTGTGATGCTACGTATGATAAAGCTCCAGTTGAAAAAGAAGGAATCCACGTTCTAGTGAGTGTGTAGTGTTTTAATTTTTTACTACAAACGAATTGTACCTTTTAAACGTAGATGTTTTTAAAACTTGACACTTGGTAATTTTGCTTTTTAAGCTAGTACAATAGGAGATGCAATATTCATAGCAATCTTTTATAATTCCTTTGAATTAATGTTTTGCCATTCCATTCATTGTGCCCTTAAACTTTACAAATGTATTTTCAACACACAGAAAGCACACTTTATTGTGTACTTATTTCAAGAAAATGGAAATTTTCATTTTCTTTAGAAAACTAATGTGATATTTAGTTTTTATTTCTAGGCTACTGGTTTGAAGCTAATTGGATATAGTTTCCATTAGATACTCTTTTTTAAAAAAAAAAAAATTTTGTTGTGCTTAAGGTGAAAGTTTACACTGCAAATTAGGTTCCCATTTAACAGTTTCTACACAGATTACTCAGTGACATTGGTTACATTTGTCACAGTGTGTCACCATTCTCATTCCATTCTGGTTGTACCATTTCTAGTACTCCAGTTTGCCTTCCCCCTGACCTTCTCATCACTGCTGTAGAGTAATATTTGACCATTTGGTTGCGTGCATAAGCTCATAAGCTCCTTTTTAAAGGAGCTTATTAGTCATGAGTAATATTCTTTATTTTATGAGCCAATCTGTTACTTAGCTAAAAGATGGCTTTAAGTGATAATTTCAGCTTAAGGTTTAAAGTATGTCTCAGGGAGTGGTCTCAACCAGTCTAGTAAGGCTTAGAGTTTTTAAGAGTTTGAGTTCTGTTCCACTTTTTTCTCCTGCTTTATAATGATCTATCTGTTGTAGCTCTGATCAGAACAGTCAGTAATGGTAGGTAGCTAGGCACCATCTAGTCTGGTCTCAGGGTAGAAGAGGCAGTGGTTTGTGTAGACTTGTTAGTCCTATAGACTGCTTTCTTTTCTGAGCTTTTGGTTTCCTTCTTTTTTCTTCTGAACAAGTAGAGACCAGTAATTGTATCTTAGATAGCCATTCACAGACTTTTAAGACCCCAGACATACTTTCACATTGGGATGTAGACTCCATCAGACGTTGCTTTTTTTTTTTTAAGATTTTCTTGTGATTGGGTGAAAGTTCACAGCGCAGATTTATTTTCCATACAGCAATTCACATACACTTTGTCTCATGACATTGACTGCAGTTTCCCACAGTGCAACAGCTCTCTTCCCATTTCTTCCCCATAGTTACCTCTTCTTTGTGTCCTTCCCTCCCATGCACTCCTGCCCTCTGAGCTGTCTCCCTGTGCATACACAGTGCTTCTGACCATGATTGATCCTCTCCGAGGAGTGTATCTTCCTAATGTGAATGTTCAGCTCATGTGCCTATCTTTTGTTTGCCTGGAAGCCACAGGAGTGGGTTCAGTTCCAGACCTGAAGGGCATCTGGGGGCTATCGTCTCAGGAGTTCCACCAGGCTCTGTCAGACCAGCAAACGTGGTCCCTTTATTTTTTTCTTCAAATGATTTTGAGTTTGTTTCCACATTGTTCTCCCGCTCCATCCAGGATCACCTACATAGATCACCAACAAGTGGTTGACAGTGATAGCTGGGCACCGTCTGTTCTTCTGGTCTCATAATCATATAGGCTGTGGACTGTGTGATGTACCAGTCCCTTGGACTAACTGTTTCCATGAATCTTTGTTTTTCTTCGCTCTGGATGAGGAGAGACCCATCATTGCATCTAGCTGGCTGTTTGCAAGCTTTTAAGATCCTACTTGTTACTCACCAAAGTAGGAGGTGGAACAGTGTTTTTGTATAGTATGTTACAGTTGAGCTTGATTCCCCTGTAGCCATGGCCCTGAGCCCACAGGTCCAACTACTTGCTCCCTCTGAGTAGCTGGCTGTGGCCAAGAATTGAATACAACCTTGTCCCTTGTCAGCTGTACTATATACCTGGAATTCTTATAGAACATATAGATAGACTTGTGGAAACATTGTCTGCCAACCCTATTCATGGTCATGGGCACACTCCCTCCTGCATAGACATACCTAGTAGTTCAGCCTGTCCACCCACCTATCCACTCATAGATCAGCGTTTGCTATCACTGACAATGCAATACCGTATGGACAAAAGGGTTCATCTTTGTTGTCTGTACTGCCCATGTACCTCTCTATGCCTTTGTCTTCCTCAGTGCTACCGTATTGATCACTCATACTTGGTACATTGTCCTTCCCCTCAATACTTGTCTCTACCTATCTAGTGGTATTCCCTCCCTTCCCCTCCCCCTTCTGGTAACCAACAAAGAAAATTTCCTTCCATATATAAACCTTTCTTTGACTTTTTACAATGATGGACTAGTACAATATTTGTCCTTTGATTGACTTACTTCACTCAGCATAATGTCCTCCAAGTTCATCCACGTTATGTGATGTCTTGCAGATTCTCTGTTATTCTTTAGGGTTGTACGGTATTCCATCGTGTGTCTGTACCATAGTTTGGTTATCCATTCTTCTCTTGATGGGCACCTAGGTTGTTTCCATCTTTTTGCTATTGTAAATAGTGCTGTGATGAACATGGGTGTGCATATATCTCTTCTTGTCCTGACTACTCATTTCTTTAGGATACATATCTAGTAATGGAATGGCTGGGTCAAATGGTATTTCTAATTCCAACTTTTTTAAGAGTCACCATACTGCTTTCCAAAGTGGTTGTGTTGTTTTATAGTCCCACCACCAGTGTATGAGAGTCCCAATCTCTCCACATCCTCACCAGCATTTGTTATTTTCTGTTTCGTTGAACTTTGCTACTAGTGCTGGGGCAAGATGGTATCTTACTGTTGTTTTGGTTTGCATCTCTCTAGTGACTAATGATTGCGAGCATTTTTCTTCATGTGTTTGTTGGCTGCCTCCATCATACGTTGTTAAGTCACTGATGGACATATTCCCTCCCACTTTGCAAGTGAAAGATTAATTACTTAGTATTTTGTGGATAACTTCTAGGGGGAAAAAGCTTTGGGGAAAATGATAGAAAGGTGAGGGAGAAGACACTTTGCTCTGAAGTAATCAGTATAGTTCTGACATTTTTTGGTAGATTCTGAGAAGTTTGTGCTTGATACAGATTTCTTGCATATTTAAATTGGATCATAAAGTGATTAGAATTATTTTAAATTATTCTTTAGTACTTAAATATATGGTTTCATTATAGAAAGTAGGAGCCTCATATTAGATAAACGTTTTATACCTTCTTCCCTAAATAGTTGTCTGAATTGCAGGAGCAGCTTTTAGAAGCATGTAATGAAATGACCTTATAATCTTAAGTGTCTTAGAGCCATTTGATTTGATTGTGGGAAAGCAAGGAAGTAGGAAGAGAACTGGAAATTCTTAAGTAGTCAGATTGATGGAAAGTAATAAGGAGATATGGTACCAAGTTGTGTTCATACTTAATATTGATAGGTAGTTCTATAGACTTTATTACATTGGTCAATGTTTGGGAAGGTAGTTTATGCAAAGAGAATAAATACTCTGTTGGTAAGGCAGTCACTTCATATCTGATTCATAGAGGTTCCTTTACCTCCTTTTTGGGTAAGGGTAGAAAAACACAAAGCTAAATAGGCAAACATTTTTTTAAAAAATGTGTTTTAATAGTATGGCATGATAATAATTTGCTTGCATTCCCATTTTAAATGACATTAAGGTCCCTGGATTGGGAATTGCTAGGGATTATTTAAAACTCATAAAATGCATCCATGTTTTAAAAAAGACAAAACAAAATTTAAGCATCTGAAACTAGTTGAATAGAAGTCATCGTGTCCCGTGTCCCCCCCCCCCCCATGTTGTGAGAATGTTCATCAGTGGGCAGATGAAAAGTCAGTGTGTTTGACACATGGCAGGGTGAGAAAATGAACTGCAGATTGACCATGCTCCGTTTGAATCAGTAGTGTTGGTACGTGTCTTTGTGAAATAGAAATAAACTGAAGAACTTGAACTAGCTTGTAGAAGATAATGGTAGGTCTAAGATTTGTTCCAGGCCTTTAAATCTAGGTTTTTGCCTTAAATACCTGTGATCATCAAATAAAATTAAAGGTCTAACTTAAGCTTGGAAAAACAAGGACATTTAGAATTAAGCCTGGAATGTCTCTTCTTTTCCCCAGGCATAGAGATTTTTAGATAGATTATTAATGTACTTTTGCCAGGTGAAGAGGGTTTGGAGCACTTGACTATAAGAGAATGTCTCCAAAATAAGGTCTTCAGTCCTTTGAATATTTCTGCAAATCTGAGACACATTGGTGGTTTCAGCTTTGTCAGTTTGAGGTTTAGATATTTCTAAATCATTGATTTGTTTGATAGAAATTCCTTATATGAGTAAGTGATACATGTTTTGTTATTGTTTCTTATCTAGGTGTATTTTAGGGAGTATCACAGGAAGAAAGCTCTCAACTAAGGTGGCTGTGGGTTTTACTAACATGCCACTAATATACCTATTTACAATCAAACTCTGTAATAGTGGTGTTTATTATAATAATATCTGTAACAGACCTTTAATTATTAGCCATAGTTGACAGCTCACATGTAATGTGTTGTCCTGGCTAATGGGCTCCCTGAATCACGGCTTTGAAACGGTTCATTCCTGTTCAACCCCCTGCTGAGCTTACGTTTCCACTTCCACCCCAGGTATAAGATCTGCGCCTGGAGATCTTGTTAAAGTCTGATACATATATTTGGGTGGAAATGCAAATTCTTTGCAGGAGTTCATACTGGAATGAACCAGTTCAAAGCCCTGACATGAAGTGTCCTAATGGTCCCAGTAATGACTGCAGAGTGAGTTTAGTGTTCACTTTTCTCTTTTCTACTCTAGTGTGTCTTAATGTACCCTTATTCAATCTCATTAGAATAGACTTATAGTTTTTTTTTTTTTTTTAAATCCCAGTGTTATTACTTTTCTCTCCTTAAGCTAGATGGGAAAAGAGGGTATGTAAAATGTGAATTTCCCCCCTTTCTTTCTTCAAAGCTGATTATGTTGCTTTTACTACTTCCTGCTAGGTAGGAAGGATGTTAAACTCTTACCTATACTGTGAATTGGTCTTAAATTGAAAGACAGTCTGAATCAATGAATACAAATTTTTTTTTTTTTTGGTTCAGGAAGCTATCATGTGGCATTGTGTTTGTGAAGTAGGCTACTTTTAATTTAGGCAGGGCTTTAAAAATATTTGGCACTTGGTTTTTTTGTTTTGTTTTTTTAAAGATATATAAACACAGACAAAGATAAAGTATGTTTCTGTTATGATCTCCTAACTATTGAAAATTTCTTGTCAGAGAGCCTTTCTCCAGAGAAAAGTTGTCATAACTTAGAGCCATTTGGAGGATAATCCTCAAAAATATTTATATGTAATAGTGAAACACTAGTTATTACACTTCTTTGTCAGAATGTACTTTTATATCATATTTATGTGTGTTGTATCCTCTCTTTGTGTTGGCTTTGAGTACAGTTTTCTCTATTATATCTGATTACTACTATATTTGGATATAATATTTGGGAGATTCCTAGCCTCTTCTCACTCTGATAAAAGAGATTTCTATATGATAAAATTAGAGGCTTACAATACTGACTACATTTCATTGAGAAGGATACTTTATTTGGCAAACTTGAATTTAGATCTTGGATCAGTCATTTTTCAGTAGCAACCAGAACTGTGTTTTTAAGAATATGTAAAAAAAAAAAAAAAAAAAAAAAAAAAAAAACCCACCGTCATTGAATTAATTCCAATTCATAGTGACCCCCATTGGGTTTCCAAGGCTACTTCTTGGAAGGAAGGTTGGGCAGTCTACTTCCGTAGTGATACCACCTTGGAAACCCAAGGAGAGGTCGCTATGAATCGGATCCAACTCTACAGCAGTGAGTTTGGTTTTTTTGGTTTGAATCTTTGTAGAAGTAGATTGCCTCATCTTCCTCCTGCGGAGCAGCTGATGGATTTGAACTGCCAGCCTTCTGGTTAGCAGCCAGATGTCTTACTCAATATGCCCCCAGAGCTCCATGTAATAGTAGTATAGTAAATTCAATTAAATCTACTTCCATAGTGATATTGCCTTGGAAACCCAAGGAGGGGTCTCTATGAGTCAAAATTGACTCGATAGCAGTGAGTTTGGTTTGGTTGTTTTTTTCTGTACTATGTACAGGTATTGTGCGTTAGGATGCACAATAGGAAAAAAAAAAAATATATATATTATCAATTCAATATAAAAGGTCTTTTCTTTCTAGGATTGGCCATTTGATGATGGAGCTCCACCTCCTAATCAGATCGTAGATGATTGGCTAAACCTTTTAAAAACCAAATTTCGTGAAGAGCCAGGTTGTTGTGTTGCAGTGCATTGTGTTGCAGGATTAGGAAGGTAAGTTCTTAATTTTTTATCTGTGAATTCATTATCATGCCTAAATAAGTCAGCTGAAAGTTTCTCTGTCATTCATTACACTAAAAATAATATTAAATTGCCTGAAAGGAAAGGAAATGAAAGTAAAAACTGGTGTAATGATTTCTCGAAATCCAGTTTTTGTTTTTTTCTGGTTGTCTGATTCTGATGGCATAGTAGATTTACTGGGTAATGGTTCAGAAGTTGTTTTAAAACTGATTTAATGGAATTATCTTTGAGCTAAAAATACGGTCTTAATTCACTGTTTTTTTTTTTTTTTTCTTTTCCTTTCAAGTAATCAAAAGGTTCAGGTCATTGAAATGGGCAACAAAATTACAGTTATTTTAGAGCTTGAAGAATCTACACATTTTATTCTTGAACAGGGATGAAATGGGAAGTTACTAGGTAGAGAGCAGATGGTTGAACTTTAAACTGAAAGGAGATGTATGCAGAGTGAGAGTTGACTTTGATTTTAAAAAACTGTTTTTCTCTAGCATTGCATGGACTGGTGTTGCAACACATCAGCAGCAGATTAAATGCAAATTTATGATATGCACTTTGACTTAAAACATAGTGCAGGCTGATATTGCCGCTACGTAGTGGTGACTCAGGCTATTAGCTCTGCTCAGCCCTTGTGTTTACTGTTTTCCTTTTATGCAGTTTTGTATAGTACATTTTTTTAAGGGTCAGAATTTCAGTCCTTATCCTGAAGCTGAGAGTAGTGTTGTAACTTGGGGCAGTTTTGTAACTAGTAGCTGCCCTAGTTAGGTACTGCAAAGTTGGTGTCTTGTAATGTTGTTCTTTTCTAAGTTGTGATTTGGCTGAAAGTTTGCAGAGCAAATTCATTTTCCATATAACAGTTTGTACACATTTTGTATTATGACATTGGTTACAATCCCCATAATGTAACAGCTCTCTCCATTTCCTCCCTTTGTTACCTTTTCCCTGTGTCCTTCTTTGGAATGCATTCCTACCCTCTAAGCTATCTCCCTGTGCAAATGCTGCCCTTTTGATCTCCCATGGTTGATTGTTTTAAGGAGCATACCTATCTGGTGTAAATGTTTACTTTATATGCCTGTCTGTTGTTTGGCTAGAAGCAGCAGGAGTAAGGTCAGTTTCAGGCCGGAAGGGTGATGAAGGGCCATAGTCTTGGGGGTTTTTACCAGTCTTGGTCAGACCAGTAAGCTTGGCCTTTTTTTTTTTTTTTAAATTTTTTATGATTTTGAGTTTTGTTCCATGTTTTTCTCCCACTCTATTCCAGGATCTCCAATTTTGATCCCTTTCTGAGTGGTTGGCAGTGGTAGCTGGGTACCATCTAGATGTTCTGGTCTCAGGTTTCATGTAGACTGAGATTTGCCTGGCCCACTAGTCCCTTGGACTAGTTATTTCCACATGTCTTTGGTTTACTTCACTGTTCTTTGCTCTGGCCAAAGAGAGACTAATTGTTGGATCTTAGATGACCATTCACAAGCTTTTATGACTCCAATCACTACTTACCAAACTAGGATGTAGAACAATGTTTTTGTGTTAGTACGTTATGCCAGTTGAGGCTTACTGTCTCCCACGACCATGGTCCTGAGCCCATGGGCCCATTGACTCATTCCTTCAGGGTGGTTGGCTGTGGCTAAGAAGTTATCATAACTTTGCTTTGTTAGCTCTGTTACATACATGAACATTCTTAAAGCACATACAAATACAAATGTAGAAATATCTGCCAAATTTATATATAGTCATGAGTATATACCCTTTTGTTTAGACATACCTGATCATTTAGCTTTTCTACCTATGTATCTGGTAGCATAGTGCCTAAGGCACTTGACTGCTAACCAGAAGGCTGGTGGTTCAAACCCACCAGCCACTCCTCAGAAGGAAGATGGGGCAATCTACTTCCATAGTGATACTGCCTCGGAAACCCAAGGAGGGGTCGCTATGAGTCGGGGCCGACTCGACGGCACATAACAACAACAACAACAACAACAACCTATGTATCTACCTGTAGATTAATGTTCTCTATTACTGATCATGTAGTACTGTGTATGTAAGTGTTTATCTTTGTTGTTTGTACTTCTTATGCACCTCTCTGTGTCTTCCTTTTCCTTAGTGTTACTGTGCTGGTCACTCGCTTTTGGTATATTGCCTTTCCCTGCACCTAAATCAATACTTGTCTCTTAACCTATCTAGCAGTTTTCCCTTCCTTTCCTTTCCCTTCCTGGTAACCAACAAAGAAAGTTTCCTTCCATATGTAAATCTTCCTTTGACTTTTTACAATAGTGGAGTAATACAATATTTCTCCTTCTCTGATTGACTGATTTCACTCAGCATAGTGTCCTCCAAGTTTATCTACATTATGAAGTGTTTCGTGAACTCTACATTATTCTTTAGTGTTGCATAGTATTCCATTGTTTGTATGTACCATAGTTTTGTTATCCATTCCTCTGTTGATGGGTATTTAGGTTGTTTCCATCTCTTCACTGTGGTGAATAGTGCTGCAGTGAACATGTGTGTAATGTAGTTTTTTAAAAAACATTATTTCTTTTGTTAGAGTTTAAAACAATATATAGAAAACTGTTCCTAATTAATTCTCTGTCATTCTCCTAGCTCACCAAAAGGATTTGTTAAAGAAGGATAGCACCTTTTCACTATTTGATGAGGAAATGATATTAATACTGATTTGGAATGAAAATACTGAGGCACTAGAGATAATAAATTTGGTCATTTATTGTACTGTGATAATGATTAGAGGCCAGGGAAGAAGATTTGATACAATGATGAGAAAATTTTAGATGTAATGGTTTAAAGACTAAAGTTCTCTTAAATACAGGATTAGGGTTCAGTGCTTTTCTAAAAACAGAAAATACCATAGAAGCTGTTAGAGTGATAGAGGTATTTTACTGTAGGAATATAATCAGATAATTTAGTATACAGGAAAAAGGCAGGCTCAAAGCTTATCTTTGTTTAGGATATTTCAATCCTTTAATTCTAAAGATTTGTGGATATTTACAAATGGGTTTTTCTCTGCAGGGCACCTGTACTGGTTGCACTTGCTTTGATTGAATGTGGAATGAAGTATGAAGATGCTGTTCAGTTTATAAGACAGTGAGTATGGAGTTTTATGGTCAGAAACACATAAAATAAGATCATACATAAAGTATCCAGTTGTATAGGATAATTTGCTATTTTTGACTTAAAACATTGTTTGAAGATATAAAAAATTAAGATAAGAGACTCAGAATACTATTGGCTCCAAGATTTAAAGACTTTCTGATTTGGGTGGCAAATTTGGACATTGAATATCTCGGAATCTTGAAAATGAATAGCTAGGTAATAGGGTCTCCTTGTTCTAGTGTCTCTTTTCATGGATGTCCATACTTTCCAAATGTATCTTTAATATCCCTATGACTAAGAGACAAGGAAGAATCTGCAGAGGAGCAGTTAATCACTGGGAACTATTAAGTGACCTGTTCAGGCACAAAATCAAGATGGTGGTGCCCAGACAGAATCTTGGCATGAGTTTGGAATCAGGCTATGTTATTTTGTTGACCACAATTCTTTGGCAATTATTATCTTGCCCTTTCCCTTTCAATCCTTTCATTTAGAGAGAAAAAAGACTATTTGTGACAGAGGGTATATATGGTATATACGGTAGCAGCTCTGGGAACATAATGTATTTCAAAGAATGGTTCTAAATATTTTGAGCATGCTTCTTCCTCTTAATACAGTTTTCTGTAACATCCTGGGAGCTCTGGTAGCATAGTGCCTGAGGCACTTGACTGCTAATCAGAAGGTTGGTGGTTCAAACCCACTAGCCACTCCTCGGAATGAAAGATGGACAATCTGCTTCCATAGTGATACTGCCTCGGAAACCCAAGGAGGGGTTGCTGTGAGTCAGGTCTGACTCGATGGCACGTAACAACAACAACATAACATCCTGAATATATTTGCTACCAATTCTAATCTGAAGAATGTATTAATCTAATTGTAAAGAGAATAGTCAGATATCTGTGGATAAACCATTCTGATTTTTACTAAACCATTAATAGACTCTGGTGAAAGTCAGTAAAAAAGATTAATCTCTTCCTTCTTCCAGGAAGGCTCAGAAACTTGAAGTTGCAAATCAGCTATTTCATTGCAAGAAATGATGTGGTATGGGAAATATGTTGGGTTTTAGCTGTGTAGAGTTAGTTAGAAGAGCCATAGGCCCTAAAGAATATGCATTCCTGTGAATCAGGCTGCTGGTTTTTCACAAGTTGCCATTCTTGTATTTTCAGGAAAAGAAGGGGAGCATTCAATTCCAAACAGCTGCTTTACCTGGAGAAATACCGACCTAAGATGCGATTACGCTTCAGAGATACCAATGGGCATTGCTGTGTTCAGTAGAAAGAAATGTAAATGAAGGCTGACTTGGTTGTGACATTTAGAGGGAACTCGTGGTACCTGGAAATGTGAATCTGGAATCTTAACTGTGTCATCAAAGTAGTGATGGATTCAGTACTCCTCAACCACTCTCCTAATGATTGGATAATAAGCAAACAAAAAAGAAATCCCTCTATAATGTGGTGAATAAAATGTGTAAGAAAGGAAAAAGGGAT